CCAAGGAAAATGAGAAAAATGTTTCACATGGAAAGATGAGGCCACAGGCTATGAAAGAAGCAGTACATGTCTGGGGGTTCTATGAACTCTTGCATTTTTCCTTCAAAAAAAGCTTACTTATAATTTCTACAGTATAGGAATTTTGTTTTACTGTAAAAAATATTTTCCCAAATCTTCAAAGAAAAGTGAAGATCCAGGAAAGGTGTATCTTTATTATCCTATAGTGTATGCCCCGGCACACCTCCATGTACCTTTGGTTGTGTATACCTTACAGTAAGAAACTGGCATTTGAAGTTATTCAGACCCTGTCTCTATTGGATCTTTTTTTTTTTTTTTAAAGATTTATTTATTTCTTGTTTATACAAGCACTGGGTACAGTCAGAAGCGTGGGAAGGTGAGAGAATTCACCAGAGCCAGAGCGGGGAGCAGAGCAGGCAGAAGGACCGAAGTACACTGCTGAGGGGAGCAGCGGGCAGCAGGAGAGGTCTGCGCGCCATGTGGGACCCTCCTCTGGTGGCCGGGGAGCAGCCGGGGATCGAACCGGCGCCGCAGAGGCTGCGGGCAGCTTCGCAACCCAGCGTTCAACCGCTGCGCCATCGGGGAGGCCCTCTATTGGATCTTTGTGGCTTTGTTTCTTACCATTTCTTCCCATATGCCTTATGCTCCATTCATATTGGTCCACTCACAATATGTCAAATTCTATCATTTCCTATCATGTCTGCACATCACCATTCAAATTTGTACACAGTTGTGGGAATGTGGACTGGCCTAACCCTTATGGAAAACAATATGGAGTCTTCTCAAAATATAAAAAGCAGATTTACTTTATGATCCAGCAATTCCGTTCCTAGGTATCTACCCTAAGAGTGCAAAAACACTAATTCCAAGGAATACATGCACTCTTGTTTTCGTGCATTGTAGCACTATTTACAATTCCAAGTGATGGAAACAACCTGAGTGCCCAATGATAGATGATGGATTAAGATGTAGGGTGTGTGTGTGTGTGTACATACATTTCACATATGCAGTAGAATACTAAACTATTTAAAAGAAAAAAGATGAAATCTTACCATTTGTGACAACATGGATGGAACTGAAGGGGATTATACTAAGCAGAATAAATCAGGATAAAGACAAATACCAGATGATTTCACTCAGGAATATAGAGAAACAAAACAAAGATACAGACTAAACCAAACAAGTCCTAGAATCTGACTATAGAATTGAGGCAACTGGAAGTAGAGGGTAGAGGTGGGGGGTAAAGGGGAGAAGAGGCACAGAGGATTATGGGTGCTGTGGGTGTAGTGCAGTAATATAAATCTGAAGAAATTTCAGCCTATATATCACTGAATCATACAGTGTTATAAACCAATATTACTTCAAAATATACAATAAAAACATAAAGTGACTTAAAAACCATATTTTTTTTATATGAAATGTTCTTTATTCTCCCTTAGTTGATCCTTCAATCTCACTTCAAGTGACACTTGTGCATAAATGCTTTCCCTTCCCTCCTGTAAGCTCCTTTCTTAACTTGTTCTTTTTACATACTTATGACATTTAATATGATTTATTTAACAAACTTTTGAACCACCATGTGCAAGGCCATGTGTGAGGAGCTGGAATACAGTCTTTGAAGATGAGAACTGTTAGTCATCTGAGGTATCTATTATCTGCATATGATTGGTATTAAATATTCAAGTTCTTTCCCCCAACTCTGGGTCTCTTGTTTTTCTAGCTAATCTTTTCTGTTTCTTCACAAATTGTTGTTCAGAATCACAGGTCTGATCTTGTAACTAACTCAAAAAACTTTTATTTTAATCTTTAAAAGAGCATCGACAACTTTCCTAATATTAACTCAACCTTGCTTTCCTATTCTTTTACTGTCCTAACTGTTCCTTGCCCTCCCTACCCATCCTGATCCTCTTGATGCAATTTATTGTCTATATAATCCCCAGACCATCCAGTGTTCTCAGCCTATACCATCCCCTTTCTCATTTTTTTTTTTTTTGCTCAAGCACTTTCTTCATCTGTTAAATGCCTTCTTTTTTTAAGGCTCTGGTGGTGAATTTAGTCTAGAAATAAAGTATTTGCTTCCAGAGACTACTGTAATTGCCTTTTTTTGATCACAGATCAGAATACAGATTTATTATTCTGCTTACACTTAAACTACCACTTTACTTCACATAAAAGTGTCTGCTGCACATACTGTGAATGTTAATTCTTTGACAATGAAGGCCTACTGTACCCTGAATGAGTAAGGGATGAATTTTGGTGCCCACACTTCCCCATCCCTAGTAATTACTAGTTCTAAAACTTGGGGGAGGGGTCCAATTTAAGACCTAAACGCATTTACACTTTTAAACTTGACTGTTTCCTCTTATGGTAGGCCTTATGCAAAAATTGGTTTTAAGTTACAGTAATAGCTTTATACAGAGCCAGGAAGGGCTCTCCTGAAAAATCTTTACTAACATCCTATGTGGTATAAAAGAAGTATGTGACCAAATGGGAGTTTTAATCTGCCTTGGAGCTGACTGTTAACACTTCATCTATTCCTCCCTTTTATTAGTATCCTTTTCACGATTTCATCATATATTTTTAAAAAACACTTTTTTGTGGGGATTTTATTCAGATACACAAATTACCTTTTGAAGCTTAGTGTAATTAATATATATAGAAAAAAGCCTAGTTTTGCTTATGCTTTTTTAAAAAAGTTGTTCACCTTATGGTTTCATAGTTGCTTATCTGGCAATCTGAGAGTTCTCTTATGTTATTTGCAGATAAAAGTTATTCCTAAATTAGTGTGCTCTTTGACACATAACGTGTCAGCTTGATAGCAGTATTAAAATATAGTGATATAGTTTGCAAAGGGCCATCTGTTGTCTAGACCTTGGTAAAAATAGCAACTTATATTGCAGTTTTTCCCCAAAATGAAGTTTTCCAACAGGTCTTTGAATAACATAATTTTATTATAATGTTGATGAGAAAAACAATCCTGGTGAGCACTGAAAATAATGATATTATTCAACCACCTGCTTTTGTTTCACTTAAAGTTGCAGATTCCAAGCACCTATTAATAAGATTTACTGTGCATCTTATAAAAATCAGAAAATATTAAGAAACAATAATTTTAATTTCTTAATTTATATCTTTTCCCACGAATGTTCACATATGTAATATTTATCTTTTTTTTAAAGATTTATTTATGCATACAAGAACTAGGGTACAGGCCAGAGGTACAGGGCAGGGTGAGAGGATTCACCAGAAACGAAAGTGGGGAACAGAACAGGCAGACTGACTGAAATACACTGCTGAGGGAGCAGTGGGCGAGACAGGAGAGGTCTGCTGCGCCATGTGGGTAGCTCCCTGGCAGGCCAGAGATTGAACTCATGCTGCAGAGGCTGCAGTTAGCTTCGTAGTGCTGTGCTTTAATCCCTTGTGCCACCAGGGAGGCCCTGTAATATTTATCTTTATCTTAAAAGTAGTCATATGTACATACCTGTAACTTTTGCTTACTGAAGGTGTCTAAGATTGCAGAACTTCATCTTAAGTACTATAGGGAATTGAGAGAACTATTAGGTAAAAACTATCCATGAAGATATTCATAGTCTAGTGGATTAAGGTAGGACAAACTATGTTTCATATACTAAACACTAAGAAGGAATTAAAATTAGCCTTTAAGAGTAACTGGAGGTGGGGAGGTAAAGTGGCTTAGACTCAGCATGTTACATAGACACACTAAGTGATAGCTGTTCTAATCCACATCTTCAAGTTCTTGCACTAGATGCCTAGAAAATATTGATTGCATTTACACAAGTAGAAGAGTTGAGTGGAAAATCCATTAGTATTTCAGGAAGAACTTTAAGATGCTTTTTTTAATGCCTTCTTTTTTTTAAAGATTTATTTATGCATACAAGAGTTGGGGTACAGGCCTGAGGTGTGGGGGGGTGAGAGGATTTACCAGAGACAGACTGGGGAGCAGAACAGGCAGTTCTGAAATACTTTGCTGAGGGGAGCAGCAGGCGAGGCAGGAGAAGTCTGCTGCACCATGTGGGCAGCTCTCTGGCCGGGGATCAAACGCCTGCTGCAGTGGCTGAGGACAGCTTCATAGTGCTGGGACTTAACACCTGTGCCACCAGGGAGGCCCTAAGATGCTTAACTGTTATGCAGATAGAGAGCTGTTACCTGCAGTTCTTCATATAGTGAGTCAAAATAGCTTTGAAAATCATCTACTTACAAACATTAAATGAGTTTTTCAAAAGGAGGGTTGGACAGTATTCGGTTTTATTTCACAATGTCCTATGCCAAGTATAGTCAACATTAAATACTGTGGCAAAAATACAAATCCCCATTTGTCAGTGAGTTAGAAAAATGAGGATTTATTCGGGTTTATTATGCCAAGAGTTAAAAAATGTATCTTTGAAATTCTGGCATTTGTTATTCATTGCTTAATAGTTGTGAAATATTAAATAATAAAATGTGTGTGAGAGGGAATTTTTGTTTTTTTTTTAAAAGATTTATTTATGCATACTAGAACTGGAGTGTAGGACAGAGGTATAGGGGGTGAGAAGAATTCACCAGAGATCGTGGGGAGCAGAACAGGCGGATCTACTGAAATACACTGCTGAAGGGAGCAGTGGACCAGGCAAGAGAGGTCTGCTGCACCATGTGGGTTGCTCCCTGGCCAGCTGGGGATCTGCTGCAGTAGCTGTTGATAGCTTCATTGTGCTGAGACTTAACCCCTCTAGCCACCAAAGAGGCCCCTTCATTTGTTTTTTAACAGAAATTCTCTACTTAAATTTCCAAATTCTCAAGCTGTTTTTGTTCTTGTTGTTCTGGATCTCATTACTTCTGTTTAACTTTTCACTTATAAATCATGTTTCATACATGTGAACAGCATTGGGAATGTGACCTTTCTCATAACCCTGTAAGCTAAGATTTTTGCTTTGCCTTTCCCAGAATGAATGTCACTAAAACATATGCATTCTGCTTTTCCCTAGGTAAAAATCTCTACACCAATGAATATGTAGCTATCAAACTGGTGAGTAGACTCTATTTTTGTGGTAATTATGTTTTGGTGCTCTCACCTCTTGTATATCTTTTTTCAGGAAATAATTGCATTCATAAAAATACTGAATTTTTTCTCTTGCAAATGATACAACATAGTAATTTTCCTTCATCTATAGTGTTACAGTGATGAATTACTACATGTTTTATAATGCTATATACATAGCTAAAAATGCTAAGCTAGTATGTTATCAATGATAAATCAAAAAATAATAAAAATAACTGGAAGAAAAAACTTAATGGGTAACTAGTAATTTCTGTGAACTTTGTATCTTTCTCAGTGCTATTTTAATAGATAAAATCATTTGTGAGTTTCTTCTTAGACGTGACTGATCTGTTTTTGAAATGTAAGGTATTAATATACTTAGTAGTAGAGAATCAAATGTCATCTAATCATTGCCTTAAAAAGTTGTGAAGAGTGAAAAACACATCATGTGGTCAAATTTGAAGCAGAGAGTTCTGGTTTTGTCAGTACTAATCTTAAGAATAACGAAACTAGTCATTAACATTAGCTTCCTATCAAGAAAAGAGAATTCATAATTATTATTTTTGGAGAATTAATGAGTCTTTAGCTTATATTTAAGGTTGATATAAAACTGTTTCTAGTCATATGAAGTTATCGCATATGAATAGTTTCTATAAAACATCCATTTTGTAAATCATTGTTAAGTTGGAAGTATGAGGAATTAATGGTTGCAGGAAGGGTCATGTGATATCTGAATGCTGTTCTTTTCTAATGAATTACACTTAATACATCCACACCTGTCTGTGGTTGTTTTTTTTCCCCTCTCTCATTCAACTTTTAAGTTTGTAGGAGAGTTAGAATTACTTTGTAAAGAACTAACAGTTACCAGATTGATTCTCTATGGTGAAGTGGACAGGGAGCAAGGCTTAGAGCAGATAGCTGCTAGGGGACCATATAAACATATGTTGACTCCAAACTCTTGTTGAAGAAATGGGAGCAGGAAGAAGTAATTCGTGTGACAGTGCAGGCCAAGTATTTTCTAAGATTGAATATCAAAAGATTAACCATATTTTTTCACTTACAGGAATTTGCTTATTCTGTGAAAGTGTTCTCTAACTCATTTTTCTTTTTAGTTTTTCTGTTTTATTACTTTGGTAAATTAGAATAATCTCAGATTATTTGGAATTAGAAGTAGCCCCTAAAACACTTCATAAAGCATTGCCTCAAAACTGTTTATTGTCTCTATTTAGCAAAGCTTCTTTTGAGGCTTTCTGTTAGGGGGTTTTCTTTTCATCTCAATTTCTCCTTTAATGTTCATACTAGTCAACTTATATAGATAAGTTTACTTAGCATATTGTTATCATGACTAATCATTTCATTTAGATTTTGTTAAGCCTTTATTTTACTTTGTATTTAATTATCCAGTAGTTAATGTTTCAGTAGTTAAAGCTAAAAATGTATTTGTTATCATTTAGATGGCACATCTCAATTCATTTTTCTTTCAAATAAATCTTATATAAAGGTATTTTAGAGGATAGCAATCTTGTTTATGAACCTTCTTGCTGTGGCAGTATTCTCTGTGGGAGATATGAGGGCAATAGTTGAGCCCCTTCCATTGTACCCCTACCAGGTTGCTGTCTTCTGTTGGTTTAGGATTTCAGTCAGGCATGAGTGTTGCAGAATAACTGTGATTTGGCAAATAACCAGCCTTCTATGAAAATGTAATCACCATTTGGCACATAAATACAAGGAAGCCCTGCTTCTACTGTTTAGTTCTACTTTGGATCTTCATTGTAGGCACTTGTTTCTTGGATTTCAAAGAACCTTTTTAAAAAATATACTGTGTAAGGGAAACCCCTCCTTTCCCCATCATGGAGTTTCTAGGCTTCTTTTTAATGGAAATTTTCTAACTATTGTTTTCAAGCAAATAAACAAACAAAAAACCTCCATGTGCTAATCTTGCTGCCACCATAACTGTAGACTAAATGTTTACAATGTCCTCTATTATAGTGCTTCCAGAAGAGCACCTTGAAGCACTCAGTTGGCTGAGCAGGCTACAGCTATATGCAAAAGGGCTTGGTTAAAGGATATAAATGCTTTGGTTTGCGATAAGAAGCCCCTCTTGTCCAAATTTATGTGATGTGTACATCCATTTTTAGCCCTCTAACTCTAAGTGTTTTTCCTTTTTAAAAATCTCGTAGCATATTTACTCAAGGCCAGGTTGAATGTTTCTCATTAAGATTTCCAGAATGAACTTTGAGAATACTGTCTTCAACAAGATCTATATATATTTTTTTAATTGACTCTTTCTAGAAAGAACATTCCTCTTTCTAGTCTTTAGGGCAATTTGGTTCCATACTGATTTGTTTTCACTGTTCTTTTTTTGGTTTCTTGTGTATCACTGGTGATTTTGCTCAGGGTAAATTCTGTAGTTGACTGCTTTGATAGTGATATAGTAGAAGATCTGAAACCAAATGGAGACTTTCAAGAGTGATTTGTTTGTATCTGAAATGATATGTAAAGAAATAACTCCTCACTATAATTTTATGTACTATTGAGTATAATCTTGAGAAGATTTAAGTTCAACCCTGCTGATTTTACAATCAAAGAAGGGTATATGTTCTTCTTTCATATCATTCTTTTGGAAGATGAAAGGAAACTTCTGAATTCTTTGACTTATGGATTAATTCTTTATCTTAGAAAAATGCAAAACTTTCAGGTGGGTTCAGAAAGAACCTTCAAAGATGAATTCAAAGAGCCTAATAAATAGGACTGATTAGGAAAGTTTAAAGGAATTGAAACTATTTGCCTATATACTAAGAAATGATTGAATATTGAGGACATAAGAGAAAAAGGCTTAGGTGTTAGTATTAGGAATTTAAATAGGATATTAAGACCTTCCAAATCATGAGACTTGTTAAATATTAACTGAAATTATCAAGGGAAGCTATGGAAGCTCCTTCCTTGGAGATTGTCTTAAACATAGGACAATAGGGGCCTCCCTGGTGGCCTGTGGGTTAAGTGTCAGTGCTGTCACTGGTAAGGCCTGAGTTCTAACCCAAATAAGGTGCAGCAGATCTCTCCTGTCTCTCCTGCTGCTTCCCTTAGCAGTGTATTTCAATAAATCCTCCTGTTCTGTTCCGCACTGCCTCTGGTGAATCCTCTCACTGCCTGCACCTCTGGCTTACACCCCAGTTCTTCTACACAAATATAAATTAATAATAAATTCAGGATTGTGTTAGGGTGGGTGGTGTGCTTCTAACATAGATCCTATGGCTGAAATTAAAATATAGAATCTGGCTCTCCCTGGTGGTGCAAGGGGTTAAGTCTCAGCACTATGAAGCTATCGGCAGCTACTACAGCTCCGATTTCAATCCCTGGCCAGGGAGCTAACCCACATGGCACAGCAGACCTCTCCTGTCTCACCCACTGCTCCCCTCAGCAGTGTATTTCAGTAGATCTGCCTGTTCTGCTCCCCACTCTGTCTCTGGTGAATGCTCTCATTCTCGCCCCCTCCTCCCCTGGACTACCTCTCAGCTCTTGTATGCATAAATAAATAAATCTTTAAAATAAAAATAAAATATAAAATCTATTTAAAAAATAGGACAAGTAGCCATATTGGGGAAAGGACAATTTTTTTTTTTCAGTAAACGCTGTTGGAAAAACTAGATACCCACCTACAACAAAGTGGAACCTACTCAGCTTACTCAAAATGGATCGGAGACCTAAACATAAGAGCTAAAACTATAAATATCTCAGAAGAAAGCTTTGGGGAAAAACTTTGACTTTGGATTTAGCATTTTTTTTGGGTATGACTAAAAAAGGACAAGGAACAAAAAAGGGTAGGTAAGTCAGAGTTCATCAAAATTTAAAAATGTGCTTTTCACTTTAAGCTGTGAAAAGACAACCAATGAAATGGGAAAAAATACTTGAAATTCATATTTCTTATAAGGAGTTGATATCTGGGATTTACCTTGTTGTTGTTTTTTTTTTAAGATTTATTTATTTATGCACACGAGCTGGGGTACAGGCCAGAGATGCGGGGGGTGTGAGGATTCACCAGAGACAGAGTGGGGAACAGAACAGGCAGACTGACTGAAATACACTGCTGAGAGGAGCAGCGGGTGAGACAAACGAGGTCTGCTGTGCCATGTGGGTTTCTCCCTGGCCGGCCGGGGATCGAACTTGTGCTGCAGAGGCTGCAGATTGCTTCATATTGCTGTGCTTAACCCCTTGCGCCACCAGGAAGGCCCGGATTTACCATTTTTAAGTGTACAGTTCAGTAAGTAGCATTCAATACCTTCACATTATTAAGCAACCATCATCCATCTCCAGAACTTTTTCATTTACCCCAACTGATATTCTGTACCCATGCAACTTTCCTTTCCCCATTACCCACTGTGTGCTGGCAGCTACCATGCAACTTTCTTTCTGAATTTGACTACTCCAGGTACCTTTTATAAATGGAGTATTTGCTCTTCTCTGTCTGGCTTTTTTCACTTAGCACAATGTCTTCAAGGTTCATCATGATGTAGCATGCGTCAAATTTCTTTCTTTTGTAAAACTGAAGAATAATCCTTTATATTGTATGGAACAAAATCACATTTTGTTTATCCATTCATTTGTTTTTAGATACTTTGGTTGTTTCCACCTTTTGACTATTTTGATTAATTTTGTTATGAACATCAATTTGAGTCCTTGCTCTTGACTCTTTTGGGTATATAGAAGTGGAATTGCTGGATTGTGTGATAATTCTGTGTTTAGTTTCTTGAGAAATTGCCATACTATTTTCCACACAACATTTTCCATTCCCATTATCATTATGCAAGGATTCCAGTTTCTTCTCATCTTTGCCAACACTTGTTATTTTCTGTGTTTTTGATAATAGCCATCATGATGACTGTGCAGATGTATCTTTTAGGGTTACATTTGTGTGGGGTTTTTTTGTCTGTTGCCTGGTATATTGTCAGTTCAAAATAATTAACTACCCAATTTTCAGAGTTTGGTGTAGAGCAAAATGTGGTAGTTTGCCTGCTTGATCTCTGGGGTCTTTAGAAAATTGTTTTTGAAAACTTGAATACCATGTTGAAGAAATTACCTGTTTTAGCTGTGTTCACCATCTTTAAGAATGTCCTTAACAGCATTATTCATAATTGTGCAAAGTGAAAACAGTTCATATGTACAAAAATCATGGTGTGTATGTATATATATCCATACATACACACATGGAAACTTCACAATCATTAAAAATAATATATAACTGTACTTGTTATAGAACAATTTCATTATTAAAAACATTACGGAACAACAAATAGAGTGTGATCTTATTTATTTAAAATTACATTTTAAATCTGTATTGTTTATAAATATATATGTATAAATAAATATTTGGGAGAACATCAAAATGTTAATTTAATAATGCTTCTCTTTAAGATGTCAAATTTCTAATTGTCACATTTGATTTTTTCTGAGAAAATAACATTTTTCTAAAATTAATAAAGCTGTTTACCACATAAAATTAATATTAAAGCAGGTAGGAAATACACACTAGAATTTAGTGAAAAAGAAAGATTTTGCATCTGGTTTCCTAGAAGGATACTTCTTGGTAAGGGAACTAACTTTGAATGATGGCCCATCCAAATTATTTTTATTTAAATATCCCTGAAAGGGGTTGTTAAGTAATTCAGCATCATCTTCTTGTAGCTGTGCTTTGTAAGAGAAATTGTGGTAAGAAAATACTATCATATTTGAATATCATCTCTAAACATTAAGTGATCTTAGTCCTGGTTTACTCTGAAACCTGGGAATGGAAAAATACTCTTTGTCTAGATCTGATCACAATTTCTCTTTGGGTTTCAGGAACCAATAAAATCACGTGCTCCACAGCTTCATTTAGAGTACAGGTTTTATAAACAGCTCGGCAGTGCAGGTAAGTCAAGTCTGTTTTCTCCATTTACTTAAAGTATAACTTACTAGAAGCCCTAAAATACACAGATTTTCTTGTCTAATCTTTACCAGACCATATTTCTCCTTTGCTTGTTGAATAGGTAAATAAACCATCGTCAACTAAAAAACTAATTGTTCTCTTACTCCTGGAGGAGCAGTTTTTAAATTTTTTATAGTTAAATTTATTTTCTTATATCATTGTTCCTTGTTGTACAATATTTGATTTTTCCCCTCAGGTGTAGCCCCCATAGTTCTCCTACCACCATAGCACCCCTGATCCATCATCATAGTCCCTTGTGTTCATCCTGCCCCTGTTTGGACCTCTTTACCTTGTTTTCTCCTGCTGGATGCCTCAGATCTATGGTCAGCCTGCAAGTTTTATCTTTTTCTTGACCCTTTGTTCTGTTTGAGGGGCACTTTTCTTAATTGGAGTCTGTGATGTCATGACCTTACTCACAGACCAGCTTTTTTTTTTTCATGATTATTAACATGTTTTTAATAAAGTAGGACTAATTATTTTAAAATTCATACTGTAGTGATTTTGCATATTGATGCATATTACTCATTTTCTTCATTTAATTGATTGTAATTATATGTATCCTTCAGCAAAATAGATGAGTAGAAATACATTTTGGAAGAGAACCAATTTATTGTTTTCTTAACAGAGAATCCAATCATATTACTAAAAAAACAAGTAATGAGATCATATGTATGTGTGTGTATGTATATATATGTGTATATATAGATATATCCATAAATGTTCTCATTTAATTAGAAAAAGAAAAAAATTACAATTTCAGAGCCATACAAAGAAGGAAAAGCATTATTATTGATTTGTGTATAATCATTTTATTAAGTTTAATTTTGGGGCAATTAAAAACTGTAGAAAACTTTTAGATGCAGTATCCTGCTTAGATTTTTTTATCTGCAAAATTGGATCATTTTAAAGAACCTTTGAGTATAGAAACTAATTTTAATTTATTCTACAGACCAGCTTTTGAATGTTTTCACACACCTGAATACATAAAACTTGGGCTTTTACTTTTTTGGTAGTTTATTCATACTATTTTTATTTTTTTTGTATATATCAAAACAAAGGAAGAGGATTTGCAGGCTTTATTTTACCAAATTGAGACTATATCTCTTTTAAAGATATATGAAAGTATGCATTCCAAAATATCCTACTACTGTCATTTTGTACATTTCTCTCATTAATTCGTAAGACCTATTCAAGTGATCATTAATAAAGTATAACCTTTGAGTATTCTTTGCAATTGAATTTATAAAATGACTATTTTTTATCTAAAAGCTCTAATTTATTTTTATTTTTATTTTATACATTTTTTACATCATTTTTCATTTGTGCACAATGTGTGCATTTTCATCTTGCTTATAGTCCCCATACAATTCCCACCCCCCCTTGTTTTGATCCTACTCCCTTCTACCTCCCCCTCCACCGTAGTGTTTCTGGTTTATAGTTGCTTGTTGATTTTGATTTTTACTTTATTATAATTAGTCTTTTTCTTGGTCCCTTATTTAGGTTTTCTAAATTTCTGCTATGAATGAAACCATCCAGTATTTTTCTTTTTCTTTCTGGCTTATTTCGCTGTAAAGGCTCTAATTTCTTAAACTTGCTGACTTGCAGAAAAATACCTTGACTAAGCAAACGTTACCAATTCTAAAGAGATTATACCTATAGGATACCTCTCTCAAAAAATGAACTCTTTTAATACTTGTTTTATTAATTGACATTAGTAGACATTCCTCTCCTTTATGCTTTTTCCATTTTAAAGGTATTTTATATGAATGTCTGAAACTTGGCTTCTATTGCAATTACCATTATTGAAGGTACTACTGTAGGAATTTGAGTGTCACTTTCTAGAGTATACAGAATTATTTAGGAAACACTGGATGTTATTCAAGCTTTGTTATGCCCTGACCATGACAGTAATCAACCATAATCATAACTTAGGGAGTCCAGAATGGGCATTTGTTTTTCATTGCACTAACATGAGTTTTTGCTCACAGTAGCCTCTCATTATTATGTCTTCAATGATTGTATACTTAAATATGGATTCACTCGTATAAATTTGGCAACTGTGAGTTCATAGGACATACATATTTAACTTGAGCCTAGTCTTCCCACAACTAAACTTTAAAGTTGGCTATTATGTTGTTTCTGGTTTCATAAATTTCAGATTGATAATGATCACAGCAGACTTATGATAACCATATTTATACATGTCTCATAAATCTGTGGTACAGGTAAAAACATGTACATCTAATCCAGTTTAGAAGTTTGAGTGGACCTGGGGAAGTCCAGACCATTTTGTAAGATTTCCTCTGTAAACCCTTCCACATATACCCACCAGATCCACAGGCCCATCTTCCCTTTTTAATCTCATGTACCTGCTCTGTAGGAATAAAAACTGTGCTTCTGGGTTTGTTTCCTCTCCAAATACAAGACAACATTGAAGATTCTCCATGCGCTGAAAACAAGGGTTAAATAAGGAGAATGTTGAAAGAAAGGGTGCTAAAGCAATTATCTCTCTCTTAAGGCAGCAAGAGAAAAATGGAACATGTGAGACTAGAGTGTCCATTACAGTCACTGGGAATAGAATGAACTGTTGTAATAGTCAGGCCAGCTATTGGCACATAGTCAAGAGTAGGCTGACCATCATTGGTCTCTCTCCATGTACCTCTTCTTACAGTCATCCTAAACAAAATCTTCTATATCTTAGAGGAAGTTCAGTAGTAATTCCTGACCTTTTTCCTGCTTTTGGTGATTGTCCCCTTCTCTTAAAGTAGCTCTGGTTGATTGGTGTCATCTTATTGCTCTTGCCTACAACGAACAAATAACCATTAGCTTTTCCAAGATAGGAGGAACTTTAGAGATCTGTTACAAATTTCCACCCTGTGTAAAAAGTGTACCTCGAGTTTTTCTAACAGATGGCCATCCATTTCTGCTTGACTACCATTAATCATCTAGTTTATTGCTCTTCAAGGTAATTCAGTGTTGAAAAGCCCAAAGTACTTGGAAGTTCTTCATTTTGGGTTAAAATTTGCCCTTTTGTATTTCCATGATGCTCAAAAGCATTCATCACAGAGGGCCTCCCCGGTGGCGCAGCGGTTGAGCGCTGGGTTGCGAAGCTGCCTGCGGCCTCTGCGGTGCCGGTTCGATCCCCGGCTGCTCCCCGGCCACTGGAGGAGGGTCCCACATGGCGCGCAGACCTCTCCTGCTGCCCGCTGCTCCCCTCAGCAGTGTGCTTCGGTCCTTCTGCCTGTTCTGCTCCCCGCTCTGGCTCTGGTGAATTCTCTCACCCTCCTGTGCTTCTGACTGTACCCAGTGCATGTATAAGCAAAAAACAAACAAATAAAAAAAAATAGATAAAAAAAAATGCCTCTATTAAAAAAAAAAAAAAAGCATTCATCACAACTGTTAAGATGCTGTTCTCTCTAGTACTCAGTTCCAAATCTTCTTTTGAGCCATACATACTCAATTCCATCAGTCTTTTTGCATAACATGATTTTACAGATACTTCGCTGTCATTGCTCCAGTAGCAAACATCAGTGTGTGTGCATGCACATACTTTCCTAGTTTTGTGATGTTCCTTTTAAATGAGTCTCATAAAACAACACCAGTAACTGGATGTTGAGACAGTGGGGTTAGTATCTTCCTTGATCTGGACACAGTATTTCTATTAATTTACATTAGCTGTTTTAACAGCCATTTACCATACTTAACTGATTATGCTATTATGGAGTTTTACTCAAATAGACCCTAGATATCCTCTTTATATATAAGCTGCCATCAACCCAGGCTTTCTGTATTTTGTAGTTATATAATTGGCTCTCGAGCACCTAAACCTCTTAAATGTCATCTTATGCCATTACTACTAACTATTGAGGTACTTCTCAATACTGATTCTGTTACTGAGTATACTATATTTTAATTGCAGTTATATTCCTCATAAAACTGTAACATATTCTTGAGAACAAGGCTTTCTTCACCCTTATGTCACAAGTGTATCTCTAGGCCTGACATAGTCAATCACTATGTAGTAGGCACTTGGGAGGTATTTTAGTAACAGAAGTTAGGAAGATTTGATAAGCATGGATTTTTAAAAATTTTTGCCAAGTAATTAATAAAACTATTAATTATGGGTGGCCAGAAAAGAGAACTTATTTTGAAAGTAGATTAGTTGGCAAGAAAGTAGACAAGATTTCACCATGTCTCATTATAAGTGTGAGCATGAACACTAGATCTTGTTCATAACTTACAAGCATGAACATTTTGCTCCCTGTTTTTCCAGAGTGAGTTCCCAGCTATAAATGTGACTCATTAGTAGTTAATGTTTGAGTGGCCAAAGCACATATGCCACTGTCTTCAGAACCAAGGTGATGTTGTGGCATTGTAAATAAACAGCCTTACATGTCAAAGGCATACAGTGACCAAAATAATGTAATCAGTGTTTTCACTCACTAGTGCTTTGTCATTATTATCAACACCAGTGATGGGCAAAATATTTGGATACCATGACAAGGAATACCTTAAAAATAAAGTCTATTCTGACATAAGTTTGTTCAAGGAATTAATTGTAAAATTAATGAACAGAATCCTTTGGGAGAAAGGATTATGAATCTGAAGGACAGTGTTATTGCTGTTGTGTTAACAGAACTTGAGACTTTAAATTCCTAAAATAAGAACTTTTAAAAAAAATTTTATTTATTTATGCATACAAGAATTGGGGTATGGGCCAGAGGTGTGGGGGGTGAAAGGATTCACCAGAGACGGAGTGGGGAACAGAACAGGTGGATCTACTGAAATACACTGCTGATGGAGCAGGTCTGCTGAGCCATGTGGGTATTTCCCTGGCTGGGGATCGAACTCATGCTGCAGACGCTGTGGATAGCTTCATAGGTTGCATCTTAATCCCTTGTGCTACCAGGCAGGCCCTACAATAGGAACTTTTTGTTGGCTTA